CGAGAAGTGAGACTTAGGTGATTTGGGCATGTGAAGAGGAGAAACACAGATGCTCTAGTGAGAATGTGCAAGAGGTTGGCCTTGGTTGGTCTGAAGAGGGGTAGAGGTAGGAAAAATAAGTACTTGGGAGAGGTTATTAGGTAGGACTTGGAGTTGGTTCAGCTCACTGAGTAAATGACTCTCGATAGAAAGGTGCGAAGGTCGAGAATTAGGGTAGAAGGTTATTAGGTTGTGGAGTCTGTGTATTCCCCATACCGGTAGTAGTAGTTAGTCAGCTTTGTGTTTCAGTTATTGATAGCCTTGATTACTATATGTTTTCTTATTATATTGCTGTTGATAATGCTTGTTCTCTTATTAACTTCTTGTTTTATATTACCTTCATGTTGGTATTGCTTGTTGTTACTACTTTTTTTTACTTTCCTTGAGATGTGGGTCTATCATAGACCCTCTACCCTCAAGGTAGGGGTAAGGTCTGCGTACACACTACCCTCCCCAGACCCATTCGAGGGATTATACTAGGTTTTTTATTGGTGTTATTGTTGTTCGGATTTCCTCAGTTTGCTTCCTCTAGAGTGTAGCACCTTTCTAATAGTATGGATGGGTGTTATATGCTGGGATATAAGTGGGTTGAATTGGAGGATGAGTGTTTGTGGGGTAGGGATTGGCTCGACAAGGATGAATTGGTTGATAATAGGGGTGAATTTCTGTCACTTCTTCTTTCTTCTTCTTTCCACTACCGATGGATCGGACTGTATAACGTTGCTAGAAGCTTGTGGCATGACCATTGACTATATCTTCCATGACTTAATACCTTCTTCTAGGAAATCTCCCATTTTGACCTGTTCGGGGAACTTTTGGCACATCATTCCCTTAATCTTCTCGAAGTAGATTCCTTGTTGAGCACAAATGAAATACTTGGTCATCTTGTTTCCACCCAACGAGGGTTATGCTTTTGTTTATTCTAACCTCCAACAGCGAGCATACTCTTGAAACGACTCGGAGGGTTTCTTCGGTATGTTCACCAAAGTGAATTTGTTGGGGGTGATCTCAATATTGAATCTGAAGATAAATCTCCGGCCATGTCTTGCCATTCTCTCCAGTTTTTGGGGTCATGCCTAGTGTACCAAGTGAGCTCTTCCCCAGTCAAACTTCTTATGAACAGTTTCATGCTTAACTTCTCATTACTTCCCACTCCTACTAATTTGTCACAGTATGCCCTCAAGTGAGTAGGGGATCACCTATTCCATCAAAGATATCAAACTTCGGAGGCTTGTACCCGGGTGGCATATCAACATCAGGGTGTATGCATAGGTTTTCATAATTCAAGCTCTCACTCCCTCAAGCAACTTGCAGGTTCTTCATCTGCTTCCTTAGTACCCATAGTTATTCTGACATTGAACCATCCTATTTAGACTTTGCACTCTATCTATTTCAGCATACTAGTCTATCTCATAAGGCATTCTGACTGTAAGGGCACGGTAAAAGTATGTTTAGATGTGGTATATATGGGTGAAACATATCGCTTATGGGTGGCAGTGTGTGCTGCAGGTATATATTGTATGTTAGTGTTGGTAAAACTGACATTTTCACAAGGAGGGTTTTGAATCAATTTGGCGATGGTTGGTGGATTTTGTGGAGTTGAAACATAGTTGGGAACATAAGGTGTATATACGAGAGGGTTTGGTTGGTTTGCAGGAGTAATTGGTGGTATAGAGTAGGATATGGCGGTGTTTGTAGTGATAGTAGTTGAGGTATTAGTAGGTTGTCGGGTCAATGGAGGAAAGTGGTCGATGATTGAATCAAATGATGGAAAATAAGGTGATTATGGAAGCATCGTCATGGTCAGATGTGCCAACTCCCGGATTTGTTGTACCGTTTCCCTTAATGACTCCATCTCTTGTTCCATTCGGGCAATATGCTCATCATTCTGAGTTTCATCCCTCCCCCTGATCCTCCTAGGTTGCCTGCTACCATTAGATCATTTTTGGTCGGGTTTTCTATAGGTTATACGGTGGCTCGACCAATTCATATTTTAACACAAATCAACCTCTAGTTAGAGGATAGATAAAATAATGCGATAAAGCAAGAAAGCAAATAAAAGTAGAAGTTAGTTTAGGAATTGCATAGATATAATCACATAGACCAGTTAGTTCACATATTCAAATAAGTGCATTTCCTAAAATATTTAAGGACCTCTCTTTGCTGGAGGTAGGCTAATATCACGAGCATTTGAGAAACAAATAGATTTGACATATTTGGATCCAGAGAAAGCTTAATTTTTATTGATGGAGTTTGCTGATTACAAGTGGGTTACAAGGGATGCATTACTGATACAAAGACGGAGGGGATATTGCTAATGGCTACAATATGGTATTCCAGGGTTTACAAAGGTTGCATAGGCGTATAGAATCTCCCTTGGGGAATTAAAAGTACAAGAATAAAATCAACCAACAACTTAGTAATCGTCCCCGGAGTCTCCTCCCAAGCTCTCTTCCTCTGGATCTTCTTTAGGATCTTCTTCAACCTCCTCCTCATCCTCATCATGGTTGTAATCTGGCTCTTCTTCTGGATCCTCCTCTAGTTCTGTCTCGGACTCAATTTGTATATTTTATACTATTTGGTTATCATCATTTGGAAATGGAAGCGTGTGATCAACTGATCTCGGGACTACCTATTGATGCATGACAGCAGTTACAAGATATTGAGGCAAGATCTCGTGGTATATCTGTAAGGTTGCTGCTGAGTCTTTTAATCTAGCTAATCCTTCCCTATTGGGCTTGGCCAATTAATCTCTTTCATTGATCCACACAAAATACTCGGGCGTGCGCCATGAGTTCTGCCCCATTCCCATTGTGATTAGGTCATTCCACTTGTTCTGGAGCCTTCTTACCCTTGGGATTGGAATCTTCCCATTATAGTAATCCTCATACAAAGTTGTCCTTTACCAATGAGGCACATCTTGAATCAAATAAAACTGCCTTAGAACCCTTAGCGGTGCATACAACTGAATCCCTTCAGGCCAACCAGCTCGATGAAGTATTTCCTTGGGCTTCTCATAATCGCTCTACCACTCAATCTAGAAAGTTTTCAGTTGATGAATTCTCCGATTAGGTGTTTAAAAAGCTCCTGCCACTCTTCTTGGCTATGTGGTGTATCCTAATGCCTCATCCTATCATTGAGACTGCGAATCATGTTACTAATGCCGACAATGTAGTCAATGTCTGGCTCCCTTTGGAAGAAATGCTTTGTAACCCATATCTGTAGCAGCAAGTTACAACCTTTAAAGAAATCATACCTTCTCAAACATGATGATAGTGCCCTGAACATTTTTTCCAGTATCAAAGGAACAATAGTGACCCAAAGATTTTCTCAGAATGTAGCCAAAACCAGGGGAAGTATGTTGATATTGATCTACCACTTCCTTTGTGGGAAGACCAGAAGTCCCAACAGTGCTAAAGAAAAGGTTAGGGGCAGAAGGCTATCCCATGCTTATTGGTCACACTGAAATTTCTCAAGATGCTAATTATAGCTCTCGCGATGCCAAATTTGTCAAAAAACTGGTCCAGACTCACTCATCCGTCCTCGACACTTCTCAGTTTCTTGTTGCTCCTTCCATTCAGTGCATTGAGGAACCTGTGGTTTGGCATGATGACTGACAATATAGGCTTCCGTCCGGCGAATGGTAACTTAGTGAAACTGGTAACTTCCTCAATTGTTGGTGTCAACTCACAATCAACAAACTTAAAGACTGTCCTAGCTAGGTCCCAGAACTCTATTAACAACCTGGTGAGTACCCTAGTAGCTTGAATGTTCATTAGTGCAGTCAATGATCCTAGATGCGTCCTAATTTTGTTTCCATGCTCTTGTAAGATATTCCTCCACCACTGCTTCAATTTGTGAGGTGCTCCCATGACCATGCTGATGTTTGGGATGTTGTGGCTGATTTCCATCTAAAAAGGGTAAGGGTTTGGTAAGTATTTTGCTCTAAATCCTTGGTATCTTATCTGGATTTATTTGTCATTCCACAGAAGACATGTCATTTGGTTCATGAACTGTAGAAATTATGGTGGATTTTCTAATTGTGAGTTGATACCGATGATCCACCCACCTAAGGTTTACACAACATGACCGATAATTGCTAGGAATAGAGTGTTTCCTAAATTTTGGAGTTGGACTAGATAACTGCGACACGATATGTCAGTTGGATTGACAAGGCCGTTCTCTAAAATTAGAGAGTTCTGAAATAAGGTTCGGAGATGTGAATATACAACCCTCTCGTGACATTGTGTGTGATTGTGTACGGCCAAGACTTGATAAGAAAAAATGTGATGATAGTGTACAAAGCAATAACCAGTAATTATGAATCTGTGATAAGATCAAGATAAACAGATAAACACATATTAGCAGGTTATAAAGTCATGTAAAGTGTTTGCAAGTAGGATAAAATAAGTAAACACATATTTTCATGTTAAACACAATTAAAACACAATATAACAAACATCCCAAAGTTCAAGTCTGGCCTAAGTCCGCTAAGGTCAGAACCTAAGTGTAAGTCCCAACAGAGTTACCATATTGTTGCACCCTATTTTGTGCAGGTCAAAATAAAATACAACTAATGGTTCTTCTGAAGTTGATAAAAAGAGTCGACACCTAATATTTAAGGTATATTAGGGTACCTATATGTCTGTGAAAATTATTATCCTAATGGTCAGCTAACCGGTAAGATTTGGGTAAGGGTACTATTATTTTAAGGGAAAAGGGTTAGACATCCCTTAAAATCTACCTAAGATAGATCCTTAAACTTAGGCTAGGATCGGGGAAAAGAAATGTCTATATTCTAGTTGATTATTGGTTGAAATTTATAAGTGAGACTTCAAAACTTTTAAGTTTTGCTTGAAAGCTCACTTTTTGAGAAAATGTTGTCTATATTATTTAGGAATATACATATACACATAATAACAAATAATAATAGCTATCGATTAAAATGAGAGGAAGGAAACCTGGACTCTTAAGATTGGGCTGGCAAGCAAGCCAGGCCTAGTTTGACTATAGTAGCGGCAGACTCTAACAAGCGGGAAAGTAGCCCAGTTCTGGATCTTGGGCCTGAGTTCCAGGTAAAACTCATCAGGCCCAATCGAACATGCATATAAAAGAGGAAAGATAATAATTAGTGCACATAAATATAGGGTGAAATAAGATAAAAACATAACATGTAATAATAACAAAAGAGCTGAGGAATGCAGCAAAGTTATTTTTATTTGTGCTAACCCTATGACAGATTAATTGAAGTTAGTGACCAAAGGCTTAGGGTAAACTACATTTATAAATGAAGTTCCCTTATTGACCTAACATTTCAGGTTTCAGTTAGTCTTATGGACCCCAGCAGTGGTTGTGCCTGGGAGGGGTACCTTAACCACAAACCAAGCTCACACCCAAATACCCTTGATAATCAACTCCTACTCTTCCTCAAAGGTTTGGATAAAAACAAAGTGTCAACTTAGTAGTTTCACATAGCCAACAACAACTATCACTAGAGTACAAGGCATAAGCAGCTCAGAACCAACACAACATTGACTTTAAGACCGTTTATTAGAACACTGAGTTTAAAGATAAATCATTGCAGGTAGACCTTTAGGGTTCTAATGATATCTAAGACCCCGAGGTTGATCATTACATGTACACGATACTTAAGAGGATCGCTACTAAGTTTTAGTCAAACAGAAGTTGTAAAACATAAATGGCTGATTACATGCTACCAATAGATATGCTCCATTTACAATTTTAATATCAGGGATGTCATGTTAAGCAGTCTAATGTATTAGTAGTTGTCAAAGGTGAACATGATACTTATTCTATTATCCTCCCTAAAATTCACTACTTCAAAACCTTATCTAAGGATGTTCAGATTACTTAGAACAAGTTACAAAATACTGTGACAACTTTCAGAGTAGTTTTAACAAGTATGCACATATCTGAAATTTTATTCATTAAACACTCATGTTAATAACTTCACTCAGACTTCCCAAAGAGTACATCAATTAACCATATCAGTAGATACATCAATATAAATGGGAAAACTAGTTTAGTGTTTGTTTATACCTAATGGACATGGTATCTAGTTGTGATAATACATAGTCTATCAGGTTTACAAATTACCAGAAACACACAACACTCAAATTCATGAGAGAGTACTTCTATATCAGTGATGTCATACAATCATGAGATAACAAATAATGACACTTATTATTAATTGGTAAGGCTAAAGCAAGAAGATCACAACATGTTTTCATTTTAGATATGTGGACAAGTTTACTAAAAAAGTATGCCAACAAATTTAGTACATGATTTTTATATATGTAGGTTTTCATGATAGGCACTTATAAATCATTCTATCAGAATAACATAGTATCTTGATCAAGTCTAGAGTTATTTAGGTAAGCTGATTAACGTAGGAGCATGCGCAGAATCATCAATAAGGATAAGTGAATAGTCTAGAATACATCTCATGATCTTAAGGATTGAGGTAAACATAATGGTGCTGGCATAAGGGTCTTAGCTAGTTAACACAGTTATTTAAGCATAAAGTTTTCTCAAGATAAGGCATGTAAAGGTTCATAAACATAACTTGACTAACAAAGACAATATGATAGACGTAAGCACAAGTATATAAGTCAATAAGTGTCATTCGATCAATACAACAATACAGGTTTCATGTAGTTACTACCACTGAGTTCAGACAGTTATGAGATGGAAAATAGTGACCCTCATTACATGGTTGACCCCAACAAGTTGCATCCAGATATGTGAGCAGACAAACTAATATACCGACAAGGTTCATCATATGATTTTATTTATTTCAAATCATAATAAACACACACATGAATTATTTTATCACAGTATTATAAGCAAGCTGTCAATTAGAGTAAAACAGATCACCATGAGAGTATGAACATTGGTGAGATTCATTTCATTAAACTAACACAATGCTAACACAATATCACAAACATAATGATTAAGATAGCATAATGCAGCAGGTATTAACATGACACCAAGAGAGGTTCAAAAGCTCGATTCACTCAACTTAGTTAATATGATGGTATACATATGGAAATTAATTAATTTGCAGGTATAGATCACACATAATATCATTAACACAAGGTTTGATTCGCTAATCATACAGGCTTAACGGATTTATCCATACAAATAAAAACATGAAAGAAACATTTTAACTAGCTATGTCATGAGAGGCAAAGTTCAATAACCATCACAGATTGAATAACAACACAAGACAACATGACTATCGGGAGATGCCACTAATCTCAAAAGAATATGATGACATGAATAGAAGGACATAAAGAAAGAACCACATAATATCATGAATAGCAGGTGATTAACATGGAAGTATCACGAACACAAAACTACATAACAAATTTAAGAAATAAAAGGGAGAGGGTCAGTGTACACTAACCTTCTTTGAAGCAGCAAACCAACTAAGGAGTGTTTAGCGACCATTTAAGAATCCAAACTTACAACCAACCCACAACAGTTTGAACTTGAGCATGAATGAAAGGAAAGAAAAATTAGATAAATGCTTTTAGGCACTTAAACTTAGCAGAAAGCTCTTAAATTTTAATGCTCTTCTTTGTATTTTCAGTGAATTCTTTGGTGTGTTCCGGTGTGTTTGGTGAGAACATTTAATGTTCTATTTATAGTGGCATCTAAGCCATTAGGGTTCCGCTCAAATTCAAGAGATAATGGATGATTACGATTGACAGATAAAGATAGCAAAAAGGGAGAAAAAAGAAGAAAACATAGGGGAAAACAGGGTGGAGTTTTACCTTGGCACAAAGATGGAGGGGGTCGACCGTTGAGGAGAGACGAACCATCGTTCAAAGCCCCCATGTCAGTAGATCACTGTGGACCGTTGATGACATTAATCAACAGTCCAGATCACTTTATGTTTCTTGTGTGTGTGCTGGAAATGAGCGACGTGGCGCGTTGTGATTGGCTTAAAGGAGGTGGCATGGATTGCGAACTTGGACAGAGGTGGGGGGTTCTGGATCGGGTCAAGGTGCATCGAACCTATGTTTTTGGTCCAATTAGATGGGTAAGGATTGAACTCATAGCCACATTGAGTTTAATTATGATTGTAGCCTATTTGAGTTTTTAAGCCCTTTTGTAATTAAATTAATTAGACTTAATTAATCCTAATTAAATATAATAAAATTTTATTATCAAATATATTATTAGTTAATTACAATAACCAATTGGTCATCAAAATTAGTTGTAATACTTCATTTGTTAAATTGTAAACACTAATTTCGGCTAATCAAAGTAATAAAGGTAGTAAAAATTTGAGACTAAATTATTAAATTAATTATAATACTTGTTTATTAAAATCTGAAAGTTTTTTTAATTAATTAAGGAATAAAAACTAGTATAATCTTCAAGTATTTATGACTAAATTATTTTTAATTATACAATTAATACTACTAACTACGATTATAATTATTATATCATTTATATTTTGAGAAAATAGTTAATATTAAATTGAAAACACTTCATTACATCTATTGTTGATTAATAAATGTAAATAATTTTATTTTAACACCTTCTTCTTCACAAATAATCCTGGCGCACCCCAAGGAGAAATACTTGGCATGGTTAACTCCTTATTTAGTAACTCTTGCAACTGTTCCTTCAATTCCTTCAACTCTGTTAGAGCCATGCGACATAGTGCAATAGATTTGGTCTGAGTACCTGGTGCCAAATCGATAACAAAATCAATATTCTTATTGGGTGTGCATGCCTAGTAGGTTTATTGGGAACACATCTAGTAACTTTCTCACTATGGGGACTGAATCAACCGTAATATTATATACACTGGCATCTCTAACAAAGGCTAGGTATGCCAAATATCCCTTCTCAGCTATCCGTTGAGTCTTCAGAAAAGAAACTACTCCACTAGGAATATGACCTAAGAAACCTCTCCATTCCAATCTTGGCAATCCTGGCATAGCCAATGTCATGGTCTTAGTGTCACAATCAAGAATAGCATGGTACGGTGATAGCCAATCCATACCTAAAATCACATCAAAAAGCCCACCATACTAAGATATAAAAGATCAACCCTAGTCTCATAGTCCCTAATAGTAACCACACAAGAATGGTAGATATGATCTGCCACAATAGAATCTCCATCAGGTGTAGACACATAAATATGAGTATCTAAAGAATCGCGAGACATATCAAAATATGATGCAAAGTAGGATGAAGCATATGAATAAATAGAACCCGGATTGAATAATTCTGAAGAATCTCTATAGCAGAATGTAACAATACCTGTAATGACTGAATCTGATGTGACTGCCTGAGTTCTAGCCAGGAAAGCATAATAATGGGCATGGCTTCCCCCTCTAGGACGACCTCCACCCGCCTATCCCCCACCTCTAGGTGGTTGCACAAGTGGTGTAGTATCTGGAGCGAGACTCATAGCATGGGTACCCTGTTGAGGTACAATCATCCGAAGTATGGGACAATATCTCTGCATGTGACCTAAATCACCACACTCATAACAAGCTCTTTACGGATATGGTCGTTGGAACTAAGTCTGCCCTGGACGTCTGGAATAACAACTATAAGAATTTCATGCGAGAGGTGAACTAAAGGATGACTGTCCGGTACGAGTGCTCTGAAATCCTTAACTAACTAGAGCACAATGTAAAAGTTGAAGTTCTGACTAAACTGGTTAGCTGAAATGACCTTAACCATGATGACCCTTGACCCTAGAGTAGACACCACTAAATCCTCCAAAACTATGAAACTTCTTAGCCTCCCTATCCTTCCTCTCCTACCTATGGATACGCTCTAGTGTCTTAGCAATCTGCACAACCTTATGAAAGGTAGTCTCCGTCTCCATCGCTCATGTTATCCCAAACCTATGGTTGTAGGTGAGCCCCTCAACAAATCTATGAACCCTCTCCCTCTTAGTAGAAACTTGAAGAGCTGCATAGCATGATAAATCTATAAACCTCATAGCATACTGGGTCACAATCATACACTTTTGGCGCAAATGCTTAAACTCAATGTGCAACTCATCCATGCAAGTCTGTGGGATAAGATCATCCAAGAAAATAACTAACAACTGAGACCATGTGAGTTGTGATGCGCCAGCTGGCCTACTTGACCCATAAGTCTACAACTATTTGTAAACCGATCCCAACAATTTAAAGGTGGTAAAGTCGACCCCGTTTGACGCCACTAAAACACAGTACGCATAATATGATGACACTAATCAAATAAGCCCTGTGCATCCTCAATAGGCTCATCATTTAAATAGGGAGGGAAAAGTCTCTGATACCTCTTCATTCTCTTCTACTCCTCAGCAAAGAAGGCTGGCCCTAACTCGGGTTAAACTACAGTAACTGGCTACACCAGTAGAAAACCTAGAGTCTGATAATCATGAGCCACCTCCTGTGATGTATGTGCAGTGGGATTTTGGGATCCTCCGCTAGCCTATGAAGTACCTGGTACAACTAGAATAAATCCTACCTGAGTCAAGCTCTCAAACATACTTATAATAAAGTCCTGGTGGAGCAATGGATCCATCAGGTGCCTGAGTTGGTCCCTCCTGCTCAACATGATCGGGAACCTGCTCCTCAGCTAGAGCCACCAGTGGCTCCTTAACTGCTGCTCTAGTAAGACCTCTAGTTGCAGCGAATGCCTACCTCAGCCTCTACCTCGGCCAAAGCCTCTTGCGGCTCTAACAAGGGCACTGGTGCCTGCTCAACTACACTCGTAGAATGTTCACCATCTGTGAGAGAATAAATGGTAAAAGTTCAAACTCTAAAGTAAATGAATTCGCACAATAAAAAATAAAATAAAGTGAAATTTTGTAATAATTCGGTAGCCTCTAGAAGATTAGTGCAGGAATCTCCGTACTAATCTGCAAGAATCTACCAGACTTACTCATGACTCGTAGAATCTATGAACCTAGAGATCTGGCACAAACTTTTCACTACCCAAAAATCCCACCAAAGGTCGTGATAGCACCTAACCTCAAAGACTAGGTTAGCCAATCACACAATAATATAAAAACATCGAAACAAGATATAATAAGTCCGAGTTAACATAAACATCGGAATAAAGCTCCAGCAAAAGTCAATACAGTGGTATATAAGACAAACTCCCAAAACTAAGTAGTATAGAGTCATGAGCTCTAAATCAAATAATGAATATGTCTCAATAGTACAATACTGTTTGAATGAAAAAAACATCATAACATAAGGGGAGGGGACTCCAAGGGTCTACGGCGCCCATGCAGCACTACTTTGAATCATAAGCAAATGTACTCACTTCCTAGGTCCGCTGCTGCAAACACCTGGATCTGCTAAAAAATGTGTCGAAGCATATTATGAGTACGAGACAACATGTACTCAGTAAGTATCAAGACTAATCTTAGTGAAGTAGTGACAAAGTTCATGTCATATGATTCTCACTAATCAAGAACTTGTGCAATATAAAAATTTACTTGAAACAAGAATATAGCCAAGATGCATTATCATCAACTCAACAAAACAAGAGTTATCAACTCAAAGCAGGTAAATTAGTCTTGCCAATAGAATCATCAATCAACAACAGAGGCATAGGGTAGCATGCTAAAATTCAAAATAAAAGAATATAAAGTTTATAACAAGGACTAAAGAATTCACTTTCATGACCAAGTTTCTACCCTTACACTCAACTCAACATCATCTGCCTCCACAATAGAATCAATCAACATCAGTCAAAAATACCATAATTTGTGTATATGTGGTATGTGGTGATTTTTTACCATTTATTGTAGTGTCTTTTCTTTAGCTTCTGTATCCTTTAATTATAAGATGAGGTAATTTATCATACGCATTGCTAGTATTTCAGGCATGATATATCTTGAAGAGAATTGAAATTAAATAAAGCGGTATTGAGCAAAAAAGAGTTGAAGAAGTGTAATTGCATTCAGTGATCTTGCATATGCGAAATAATGAATGCATCTGTAGACTCGTATTTGTGAGAAAGTGTCCAAAGCTACGGAATTGCTAATGTTCCCCTGTGATTGCACATGCGCATATACGTCCGCATTTGCGGAGTCGCTTCTGCACACGGAGCCTACATATGTGGATTCACTTGTACGTAGTGTCCATATCTACAAAGTAGCAAATTTCCCAACAAACATCGCACATGTAAGCAAAAGTTTGCATCTGCGGAATCGCATGATGGTAGACTATAATTTCGTCTTTTAGTCGCTTTATTGCACTCTAATTTACTTCACTTTAATTGAGTTTGAGTTTTAATTGCTAGTATTTTAGCACTAGTTGCATATTTTATACCTTGTAGGAGTGATTCCGAGTGATGTATATGTTACAGAATGAATTTGAGTAATTTGGAGATTTGAAGTCTGAGAAAAAGCCCAAGGGATGTCCACGACTGGACTTCAAAATTAGAGCAAAACAAATTCACTCTGAGAAATGTCGCAGCCGCGGCACGTGGCGCGCCGTGGCTGCCCACTTTCTGCTGCTGTCAATTTTGTCAACTATCTAGATTTCCCCACTAATGCCCCGCATGGTGCGTCGCCCCTTGCGGCATGCATGTGCAATTTTTACAGATTCGGAATCCTATTTCATGCAGGAAAAATTATTTTCGTCTGGGCCCGACCCTATTTAGTATAAATACATGTAAAAATATTATTTTGTGGACTTTTGACACATGTTAGACCTAAGAAATCCAAGGAAGAGGTGAAGAAGCAAAAGCACAATAATTTCATCATTCAATCCTCACTCAAG